ACCCTTGTGAAAGGGTCGTTTGACCCCCAAAAGGGTCGCGACCCTCAAGTTGAGAACCGCTGCTCTAAGGTAAGAAATAGATTCCTAATGGGTGGAAGTCATAAACACATACACTAGTTGAATATTCACTATATCCCAGATACAATGGAATGTGAACTTCTAAGAAAGTATTTAGTTACTGATTTCTCATTGTTGATCTGCCAGGCTTACTGGAGGGGACATTAGATAGGGTGATGGATTAAATGTCCTCTAAAAATCTTTTTAGAGCAGATTTTGTTCCTTTTATAAAACTTGAAGTAAAACTTCCATGATTTCAAATTACTGAAATTTACACTTGCTACTAGTGCCACGGCTTTAATATCTTGATGTTCAGATCTTTTTTAATTAGTGATTTTCTTTAAAGAATATGCTGTTGTGCATTGCTAACAGAGCCATGCAGAGTACCTGTTTGGTATAAGCTACCTAACTACATAATCCCATCAAATGGGAAAATAAAATACACTTTAGAAGGATCCACTTTGTGGTGAAATTTCAAATATTACCTAACAATACAAAAAGAAAATTGTTGACAAAGAAAATAGCAATTTGTGTGTCCCATAAGTGTAAAATGATTGGCCAGGAAAACAGTGCATTTCCTACTGTTCAGAGGGAAAGCTCCCTAATGGTAGGAGTGAGAGAAAGTTTGGATTTAAAGGAGCTCTTAAAGCTAAGGTAAGTTGCAGTGGATGTGAAAGAAGATAGCTTTTGTGATGAATATTAATCACCTCCCTTCATATTTACTCTTCCCTTTTCATTTGCAGAAGCTCAAACTTCATTTGGGGACCCAGGCTGTCCAAAGAAATTAACTCCATCCTTTACTCCAGAGATGAAACACAGAATCCAGGATACAACAGTAAGGACTTTCCACCGTCATGGCCACAGTGATTCCTTCTGAGGTGGAAATAGGATCTGCCTGGTTGAATCAGAATAAACATCAGGACTTTTCTTAGAAATGCTGAGACAAAAGTTATTTTGCCAGTGGAGGTAAATATGGAAACAATAAATAAGCCTTAGGAGCTACTGGAAGCCATATCAAAACCAAGACAGGATTATCAGAATGTAACAAACACCAAGAAGGCAGAATAATTAATTTAAAAGTCACTGAGCCACTGGATCATTCCCAAAGTAGCCTATCTTTGGACTTCTGAGATAACATTAGCTAATGTATTTCATTGGTGGCTTAATTCCATTTAAGTCGTTTTTTAAATGTAAGGTTCTTATTACTTGCAACAAAAACCAAAAAGCCAGGGACTTCAGGCGAAGAAAAATAGAGTAAAATGCACAGATGTCAATTCAGACTTAAAAACTGGTTTTAGAATTTATAGCCAAATTTATTAATAAATTATTTGGTGTCAGAGATATAATCTAATGAATCTCCCATTCGTTGAGCATCTTTTCTTTGTCCTATGTGCATATTTCTTATTAGCAATTATTTTAAAACGTATAAATATTTTTAGATTCATTTAAACTACCTTCTCCAAAGAAGTCCCACACTTAATGGGTCTGGGCTGTGATTCTTGAATTGGTGGGGTAAAAACCAGATGGTGCCATGTCTATTCTTAATTTGCCATGATCAATTGAAAACTGGGTTGAAGAACCATAAACTTCTGGATTTTGCTTCAAAAGGATGAGGGAAATGTGGACAACATGATGGTAGCCTCTACTCCACTTTCTATTATTTTTGAACTGTTTCAAGTCCCAAATTAATTTTCTAGACCTGAGGATACAAAAATGGAACTTCTAACCATACATACCAAAAAAACTACCAGATGTTAAAATTGTTAAAAAGAAAGCTGCTGTTAAAAGCAAAGACCCCAGTATTAACATGACTTACCATTTTAAATATTTCAGTTATGAAATATACAGGGGAAAAACTAAATACTGGTAAAAAAAAAAAGACTAAATTGATATTACCACTTTGGAATTTTGAGAACCATTACAGATTCCAGTAAATGCACCTCTGATAAAAAATATCTGAATAAATAAGAAATAGGAGGCCTTTGCTGACTTTCAGGTACAAAAAAATCACTTCAATTTCATTCTGTCCATATATCATTTGAGAAAATCTTTTTGAATATTCATAGGTCAGTAGAAAAATTTTAGCAGTACAATATATTCCCCAAAATAGAAAAGGTAAATATCAAGATTAGTCACATAGCTATCTAATTTATGAATAAAAGGAATTATATATTCAGGCTTCCTAATACAGAAATATAAAAAATTATTTTCAATTTTCCCAACACCATTTATTGAAGAGACTGTCTTGACTCCACTGAATGTTCTTGCCTCCTTTGTCAAATATGAATTTGAGCATAGTGGTTTGGGTCGATTTCTGGGTTCTCTATTCTATTCCATTGTCTAATGCAGGGGTGGGCAAACTTTTTGACTGGAGGGCCACAATGGGTTCTTAAACTGGACCGGAAGGCCGGAACAAAAGCATGGATGGAGTGTTTGTGTGAACTAATATAAATTCAAAGTAAACGTCATTACATAAAAGGGTACGGTCTTTTTTTTTCAATAGTTTCAGGGTTTTTTTTTTTTATTCCAGATGAATTTTTGGAGAGTTTGTTCTAGGTCTGTGAAATATGCCGTTGGTATTTTAATGGGGAGTGCATTGAATCTACAGATTGCTTTGGATAGTATGGACATTTTAATGATGTTGATTCTACCAATCCATGAACATAGTATGTTCTTCCATCTGTTTATGTCTCCAATTCATAAAGACTATACAGAAGCAAAAATATACAGACAAAATGTGTCAAAATTGCAGAAAGGAAAAGTCAAATTGAGGAATCATCACGTTCTCGATAAATAGTGCCTAATAAAAAATATGAGTATTGTTAAAGGTTATATCTACAGTGAAAGGATAAATATTATCAATAGATAAGAGTATTTATATGAAGAGTAGCATAAACTAAACAAATAAATACTTCTATAATTCGTCCATCACTGGACTTTCAGTTCCAAATTATTCAAAATATTTCATTCCAGGTGCTTGGTCCTAACTTCCTTTTTATTAAAGTTAAAATGTAATAATTATTGGAATAAGATGACTGAGATAACAAATATTTATTTAAACCAATAGAAACAGGAGAAGACAGAAAAAATTCTATGCAATATTTGGAGTGGAAATGAACTTGAGAAAGGAGGAAGGACAGGAAACTATGACACATAACTCAAATTCTATTTCTTTGACATACACGGAAGGAGATATAAAAAGCAATGGGTCTGGCCTGGCTGGTGTGGTTCAGTGGTTGAGCATCGACCTATGAACCAGGAGGCCAATGTTCAATTCCCAGCCATGGCACATGCCAGGGATACGGCTCGATCCCCAGTTGGGGGTGTGCAGGAGGCAACAGGTGGATGATTCTCTCTCATCACTGATGTTTCTCTCTCTCCCTTCCTCTCTGAAATCAATAAAAATGTATTTTATAAAATTTTAAAGTAATGGTCTGAGTCAATAAACTCCCCAAGAATCTCCTACAAGCCAATACAGTAGGTCCTCGGGTTAGGTCGGGGCGACATAACGCTATTTTTGCCGTAAGTCTGAACCCACCTACATAAGCACCTATGTCACTCACATGAAGCACATACACAGCAGTAATGAAGTGAAACAGTAAAAAAAATTTAAAAGATAACAATTCCTGACCTTTACTTGTGGTGAATAAATAATAAAAACCACAAAGCACATATGTACATATGTTGAAATGACGGAACTATTTTTTTATAAATACTGTAAATGGGAGACGGCGACGTAACCACAAAATGATGTATGTCGAGTCCTACGTAAGCCGAGAACTGCCTGTACCTCAAAATATGAATTAATTCTGGTCACTCCTGCAGCCAACTATACCTTATTTTTTTAAAAATTGCTAATTGAGGATTCCACATTTTCCTTGGGAAGTTAAAATGGAAATGCTAAAATCCCAGCAGTTTTCTTTTATATCACAATTCAAAGTATCCATTTTTCTTCAAGCAGCAAATGAAAATGTCAAAAACATTCTTGCTGCAGATATTTAGTTGTTTTCTGCCAAATTAATGAAAGAAAAATATTGCTCTTTGAATTGGTTAATTAACATGAATACTTCTCGAAAGGGCTCCTGCTTGCAAAATTAAGCCAGCTCTAGTTGGCACACTGCCCTAATATTCATGGAGACTAGACTATAGGCTCCACTGTACTCAAGAGACATTTAGCTTTTGGCATCCATTCATCAGCTTACAAATCATCAGTACTAACCATTATAGACACTCAACTGTCTGAAGCAAACAGAGCAGAAAGCACCTGCATTTAATATGGATGTACCATATCCTGCTTCTTTGAAATTTTAAGAGCGAGGCTTAGAATACAGAATAAACAAAATACCCTAATTTACATATTGTCTAGAAAGTAGAGCTACTGCAAAAAATACTCTAATGACAAACTACTCCAAGGAAATCCTCTAGGCACAAGGCAATCTTAGGAAGTAAGGAATTTAGAGTATTTTTTTCCTCAGTTCCAGGCCAGGGTGAATGGTCTTAGGCCTCCGGGAGACGACACACAGCGCGCATAGCTTGCCATTTCTTAGGATTCAAGATAGATAAGTGATTTGCCTACTTCCAAACCTGATAAAATAACCATAGCGTTACTCAAGCTAAATCACATCGTTCCTTTCTATCTTCTTCATGCCATATACCCTTCTACAAAAAACTGATAAAACCCTCTTTCCGTGCTCAATGACATACTGGATACACGTCTCTAAAATTGAATAGGAAAATGTTTCTCAACTTTCTGAAAAATATATTCCAATCTTTTTATTTGAAAAAAAATGAGTAGAGATATGAAAACAGAAAATAAATAATAATGTCCCTTCTTTTCTCTCTATCCCTAAATTAAATGGAAGAAAAGATCCTGACTCAAGACAGACAAATACTGATAAACCTAGGAATGCAAGCTGGCTTTTCCAAGATGTCCTCCACACTGTACTCATGAGGCTGCAAGGGTGTCACCTCCTCATATGGAGTCTTACATTGGGGAATGAGAAAAGCACAGAAGTCAATAGGTGATCCTAAAAAAGGCATTTGACACTAACTAAAACATCAATCTACATCAGCACCTAAGTATTATGGCAAATATAAAATTATCAAGCAATTTTTTAAGATCATCAAAATAACCCCTTATAGATCACTTGTTTTTCAAGAACATTTAGAAGACATTATACATTCAGACTTTGGGATTTTGACATAATAAGTCTACATTGATCTTTAAATAAATTGAAGCTAACCAAGAATGACAACCAGGATGCTTAAGGGGTGTAGACACCATGAAATAGTATACAAAAATCAAACAAACAAAATAAGAATGAAAAAGATAAACAAGGAACAAAGAACAGATGGGAGGAGAACATATTGTAAGATGACAGACTTAAAATGAACCGTTATCAACAAAGTAAATGTAAATGATCTAAACCAATTAAAAGACAGATATTATCAGATAACTAAAAAGGCAAGACCCAACAATATATTCCTTTGAGAAATGTACATTAAATATAGACACAAATACATTAAAGCAAAAGAATATAACAAGACACATATACTATAGCCAAAAGATATCTCGAGTGTCTATACTAATATCAGAAAAAATTGAGTTCAGAATAGAACTACTACCAGAAATAGAGGGTACTTTCATAATGATAAAGTGGTCAATTCATCCAGAGGATATAATAATCCTAAATATTTAAGCGCCCAGTAACCAACGTTCAAAATACATAAAGCAGAAACTAAGAGAAGCTCAAGGAATACAATATTTTGACCATAAAATAAGTCTCAAATATAAAAGGATTCAAGTCATACAAACTATGTTCTTTCTTTACAATGGAACCAAAGTAGAAAACAATAACAGAAAGATTTCTGGAAAGCTCTCAAATATTTTAGAACTAAATATGGTACTCTAATTAACCAAAGGGTCAAAGAAGAAATTCAAAATGAAGCTAGAAAGTATTTTAAACTGAATTAAAATAATAACATACCATATCAAAAATTGGAGTATGCTGCTAAAGCTGTACAAAATCTATGGCATAAAAAAAAAAATTATATTAGAAAAGAAGAAAGGTCTCAACTTAATGTTCTTAGCTTCCACACTGTGAAACCAAAAAAAGAAGAGTTAATTAAGCCCAATGTTAGCAAAAGGGAGGAAATAATAAAGATCATAGCAGACTTCAGTAACACAGAAAATAGAAAACAGGGTGTAAATCAATGAAAGCAAAAGTTATTTCTTTGACATAGTCAATGAAATTAATAAATTTCTAGAATGATGAGATCATTTTGAAAAATATATAAATTAGTAATATCAGGAATTAGAAGTGATACCACTACAAAATCTACAGATAATATGGAAATATTATGACAACATTATGCCAGTAAATTTTATAATTAAGAAGAAAGCTGTATTCCTTGACAGATACAAGTTACCAAAGCTCACTCAAGAAGAATTAGTGTGAATGAAATTGTATCTATTAAAAAAACTGAACTTGTAGTAAAAGCCTCCCCACAAAGAAAACTCCAGGCATCACTGGTGAATTCTATAAAAATTTAGAGAAGCAATAATCCTAAAATTTTCTCCACAAATTCAAGTTAAGAATAATTTCCAATTTGTAAGGAAATTATAGACCATATCCTCATAAATATAAAAATTATAGAAAGTTGATTTCAACAATGTCCATAAAGGATCATATAACACATCAAGACCAAGTGGGGTCGATCTCAGGATTTCCAAGCTTATTTAAAGTTTTAAGGCTGGCTTAAATATAATTCAACATAGTAAGAAATTAAAAAAGGAAAACCTTATGATTATCTAAATATGCACCAATAGTATTTGACAAAACTCAAAATTCATCTTATATAATAAAAGGCTAATATGCAAATCAACCGAATGGTGGAATGACCAGTCACTATGACGCACACTGACAACCAGGGGGCAGATGTTGAACACAGGAGTTGCCCCTGGTGGTCAGTGCGCTCCACAGGGGGAGTGCCACTCAGCCAGAAGCCCTGAGTCGGACTTTATGGCTGGTGAGTGCAGCGGCGGTGGCGGGAGCCTCTCTTGCCTCCGCGGCAGCACTAAGGATGACTGACTGCCGGCTTAGGCGGGCTCGCCTAAGCCGGCAGTCGGACATCCCCCAAGGGCTCCTAGTCTGCGAGAGGGCACAAGCCAAGCCGAGGGACCCCCCAAGTGCACAAATTTTGTGCACCAGGCCTCTAGTTTCTAATAAAAATTCTTACCACAGTAGCAATAAGAGGGAATTTCCTCAGGCTGATAAAGAGTATCTTGAAAAATCTACAGTTAACATCATACTTATTGGTGAAAGACTTGATGCTTCTCCCATTCTGATTACAAATAACAGAAATGGCCGCTCTCATAGCTTCTATTCAACATTGTTCTGGAGGTTCTAGCCAGTGAAACGAGGCAAAAAAACAAAAGATACCCAACTTTTAAAGAAAGAAGTAAAACTTCCTTTTTTTTTTTTTTTTCAAATTTTATTTTTTATTACAAAGGGGATTACATATGTGTCCATTTTTTTCCCCGCCCTAGACAGTCCCCTAGCCTCCCCTATTCCCCAGTGTCTTATGTCCATTGGTTAGGCTTATATGCATGCATACAAGTCCTTTGGTTGATCTCTTACCCCAAGAAGTAAAACTTTCTTTATTCACAAACAAAATGACCTCTATATAGGAAACTAGACAGAATCTATAAAACAGTTATAAGAACTAGTCACTTTAACAAGATTATGGGATACAAGATCAATATTAAAAAATCAATTGTATGCCTACTTCCTAACAAGAAAACACTGGAAGCTGCAATTAAAAAGTAATATCATTTAGAATAGCATCAGTACATCTGAAATACTTAGGGATAAACTTTACAATAGATGCGTAAGTCTTGTACACTGAAAACTACAAAACATTTCTGAGAGAAATTAAAGACATAAATAAATGGAGAGGCATTACTTGTTCCTGAGTTACATGATTCAATAGTTAAGATGGCAATTCTTCCCAAATTGATTTAAAAATTGAATGTAATCCAAATCCACATCCCAACAGGCTTTTTTTCATAGATATTGACAAGCTGATTTTAAAACTCTTATGAAAATACAAAAGACACAAAATAGTTAAAACAACTTTGAAAAATAAGCAGAAAAAAAGATGGCTAACAATACTACCTGATTTTAAGATTTACAATAATTAATCTACAATAATCAAGAAAATAAGTTTTTGGAGTAAACACAGAAAAAACACTGCCCTGGCTGTGTGGCTCAGTTGGCTGGAGCATCGCCAAGTATACCAAAAGGTTGCAAGTTCTATTCCCAGTTAGGGCACATACCTAGGTTGTGGGTTCAGTTCCTGGTCAGGGCACATGCAAGAGGCAACTGATTAATGTTTCTCTCTCAGAATGATGTTTCCCTTTCTCTCTCTGTCTCTCAAATCAATAAAACATATTCTCTGATAAGGATAAAAAGAAAAAGAGAAAACACAATGTAATGAATTAAGAGAGTTCTAAAATTGACCCATACATAAATGCACAACCAGTTTTCAGCAAAGAGGGAAAGGCAATTCAATGGAGAAAAGACAGTATTTTAAACAAATATTTCTGGAACAATTGGATATTCATACTTTTAATAAATGAACTTTTATCTGTATCTCACACCACACACAAAAATTAACTCAAGTAGATTTCCAGATACAGGTTAACAGCTCAAACTGCTTTACATGTGCTCTGGGGTTAAATACAGTGGGTCCTCGGGTTAGGTAGGAGATCCGTTCCTATGGCGCGATGTAACGCCATTTTTGTCTTAAGTCAGAAACCACCTACATATGCACCTACGTCACTCACATGGAGCACATACACAGCAGTAATGAAGTGAAACAGTAAAAAAAATTTAAAAGAAAGATAATTCCTTACCTTTACTTGTGGTAAATAAATAATAAAAACCACAAAGCACGTATGTCGAAATGATGGAACTTTTTTTTTAATAAATACAGTGGGGCCTTGACTTACGAGTGTCCCGACTAACGAGTTTTTCGAGATATGAGCCGTCTCTTGGTCGATTTTTTGCTTTGAGTTGCGAGCTAAAATTCGGGTTATGAGCCAGCTTCAGATACCCCACCGCTAGTTGGCGCAGCGAATGTCACAGTGAACACCACAACATCAGCCCAGCATCACGTGTCTCACTTGTTCACTTTAAGATTTGACCTACGAGTAATTTGAGTTACGAGCTCCATCACGAAACAAAGTAAACAAGGCCCCGTGTACTATAAATGGGAGATGGCGACGTAACCATGAAACGACATATGTGGAGCCTGACGTAACCTGAGGACTGGCTGTAAATAGGTAAACAAAAGGTGGGATCCATGTTTCTCCCTGTTGGAGAGATGTTATAGATAAGCAGTGAACCACCTGGTACTGCATTAGAGTCAGAGGCATCAGTATGAACTCACATTTAGTTGAATATAAATATAAATAGACAGATGTATAAGTAATTGTAAATGTGTATATCCTTAGTTGCAAACATATATACATTTCCTGGCTCTGGGTGCTGAGATAACCTAGACATAGTGACATCCCATTGGCAGCAATCAGAATACCTAATGCTCAATCTTAGTTTCTAAATAACATACCCGCAAAAAAGGAATTAGGGAATGGCTGATTCTAGGAATGGAGCATTGCAAATACCAGATGACCCTTAGGCATCTTGTGTCAGAATAAAAGGAAGTACTGGAAAAAGAGAGGGGAGCAAGTACAAGGGATACAGGAGCCAACCTAAAAGAGCTACCAATGGGCAGAGCTGGAATAAGTTCAGCAACAAGATAACAAAAATTTTTGTTATAACCTAAATTATAAAATAAATATACATGAGTCCATACTGATATCATAAATGATTAAATAAATAAATGGCAGAGAAGAGTCAAATAATAAGTACCATTTAAAATAATCATCTTACAGAAGAATTCCAAGTAATTTTTAGAGACACCCATTTCTAAGTGCTGTAGAGCATGAGCTATACTTAGTGACCTGCTTCCACACAATAAATTATAGAAAGGGTGAAAAACATTAACTTTACAGTGGAGAAACTTGGCAAACATCACTGTGGTCAGATAATCAAGATTAAGCCACATCAGTGATAAAACATGATAACATCATGTATCCACCTGCCCCAGATATGTGATAAAAAGGGTGCCTCTCCTAAAGAAATCATCCCAGTGAAATCAAGAAGAAACATCAGACAAACACAAATTCAGATCCATTCCATGAAATATCTGACCAGTACTGCTCAAAACTGTCAAGGTTATCTAAAATAACAAAAACTGAAAAACAAATGAAGACTTAGAAACTACTAGTATCAAGGATCCGAGAAGAATAAGGAGATATGAGGTCTAATGTGAAATTCTAGAACAGAAAACAGAAGTGTAGTGAATAGTAATATACCAATGCTGGTTGCTTAGTTTTGACAAATCTACTATGGTTATGTAAGATGTTAATAATAGGAAAAGAGAATGAGAGGTACATAAGAACTATCTGTACTAACTTTAAAACTTTTCTGCGAATCTAAAATTATTCCAAAGTAAAAAATGTATTATAAAAGTGTATTATCGACTTAAATATAAAAAGTAAAACTATAAAACTTGTAGAAAAAAATATGAGAAAATATTTTGGACCTTAAGTTAGGCAAAGATTTTTTTAGGTAAGATTCCAACAACACATAAATGGTAAAATTGATAAATTGAACTTTATCAAAATTTTACTTTTGCTCTTTGAAAGACCCAAATGAGTGAAAAGAGCTGATTAGGAGAAAATGTATGCAAAGCATATATATCCAAAAGAGGACTTGTAACCATAATGTATAAAGAACTCTCAAAATTCAATAAAAAAAAACAACCTGATTAAAAATAGGCAAAATATTTAAACAGACCCCAGAAAATATTTAAAGATAAGCTAATAAAAAGGTGCTCAAAATCATTAACCTTAAGAAGACTACAGCATTATTTACAATAGCCAAGATATGAAAGCAATCC